AACAGATGGAACTCTTCTAACCCAGATTGAAAGATACTTGAAACAAGCAATTGTTGACAAAAACCCAGTTGTTGCAAGTGCAGCCTTAGTCAGTGGTATCCACTTGCTTCAGGTACTACTTTTTTTTGTTAGGGTTGGTTTTCATATAGATTTTAAATTAATTATCAAAACTCTAATGACTTGTTAGCATGTCATAAATATTTTGGCAGACAAACCCTGAGATTGTCAAACGATGGAGTAATGAGGTTCAAGAAGCTGTTCAATCAAGAGCAGCCCTTGTGCAGTTTCATGCTCTGGCATTGCTCCACCAGGTATGTTACATTCCTTGGTTGAAAATTTTGGGGGTTCTATTTGGTAGTTGAAGTCAGTTGCTAGATTCAGGCCTAACTTGTTAACTAATTTACATATTGTGTCTATGAAGATGAGAATGCTGACCCCAGAGTATGGGATATAAGGCTCAGTGTGTTGATGTTGTTGTTGTCTATCAAGATAAGAATCTTCCTTACAATAGCTTGTGGTCAAGGTTTTTCGTATCTTCTGATTGATTTTTAGCAGCCTTGTTGTGTTTGTTTTTACTGGATTTTAAGATGTTGCATGCTTAGCTCATTATCCAAGTTAGAACAGTACTTATAGGTTTATGTGCAGCAAGGGGTAGCAAAAATGTATGAGACAGGAAAGTAAAGTATTTTTTATGCAGTAGGACCTACGGTGTTTTTGCATGTTTGCATGTGTGTGTATATGCAAGGTTGGATTTGGGATGATGATCATTAAATTGGATCTTGTCAGTTTGTGTAAAATCAAATCACATCTATGATGAATGCATGTGATTTCATACTTGCAGATACGGCAAAATGATCGACTAGCTGTTAATAAGCTGGTTAGTAGTTTGACTAGGGGAAGTGTCCGCTCACCTTTAGCCCAATGCCTATTGATACGTTATACTAGTCAGGTACTCACCATCTCTAACTTATCTTTGCCCTTCTGCAAACCGTTTTGTTCATAAACATTATGCAGTAATTGGCAAATCTGCAGGTTATTCGTGAGTCAGCCAATAACACTCAAACAGGGGATCGCCCTTTTTATGATTTTCTTGAGGGCTGTCTGCGCCACAAGGCTGAGATGGTGATTTTTGAAGCTGCTAGAGCAATCACAGAGCTCAATGGTGTGACAAGCCGAGAACTGACTCCAGCAATTACAGTTCTTCAGCTCTTTTTAAGCTCTTCTAAGCCAGTGCTGAGATTTGCTGCAGTTCGTACTTTGAACAAGGTTGATTATTTTCCTTTGCTTAGTAATATGTCGTGCTATTGTATAGATATCTATGTTGTTGGTTCAACAAAATGAAAGCCAAGAATTTTGATGGGAGGGGCTAGGATAAGTTTCTTCTGTAAATTTCAGAAGTTCAAACACACTTATGGAGCTTGTTGAAAGTGTTTTTACTAATTACTATATTGTTTAGAAAACGTATAATAACTTTTCAATCATAAATGATTGTTGTTTCTTTCTAGTTGAGATGCATGTATTTTCTGTGCATTCTGATTTCCAACTGTGTGACTTCATTTCTTTTCAGGTTGCAATGACTCATCCCATGGCTGTCACTAACTGCAATATTGACATGGAGAGTTTAATTTCTGACCAAAACAGAAGCATTGCCACACTTGCAATCACTACCCTTCTCAAGACGGGAAATGAGTCTAGTGTGGATCGCCTGATGAAGCAGATAACTAATTTTATGTCAGATATCGCTGATGAATTCAAAATTGTTGTTGTGGAAGCCATAAGATCATTATGCTTAAAGTTTCCATTGAAGCACAGATCTTTGTAAGGGATTCTTGGCTTTGCATTATTGGTCAGTAGGCTTCAGTAGATACTTCTTTTCTAGTGCCCTAAAGCGCTCCTTTTCCATTGTTATCTTCAGGATGAACTTTTTAAGCAATATTCTGAGGGAAGAAGGTGGATTTGAGTACAAAAAGGCCATCGTAGATTCAATTGTGATTCTCATCAGAGATATCCCTGAAGCAAAGGACAGTGGATTGCTTCATTTGTGTGAGTTCATTGAAGATTGCGAATTCACATATCTTTCCACACAGGTAGCATTTTCATCTATTATTTTGCATCACCTCTGTTGTGCTCTTTATGCCTTTTGTTTCCAGTTTTCTCCCATCTTTGACTTCTACTAAATTTTCCCAACGTTGTAGATACTTCATTTTCTGGGGATTGAAGGCCCAAAAACCTCAGATCCGAGCAAATATATACGATACATTTATAACCGTGTGCATCTTGAGAATGCTACTGTCCGGGCTGGTGCAGTCAGCACCCTAGCAAAATTTGGTGCTATGGTTGATGCATTGAAGGTGTGAAAAATCTTAATTTTTCCCTTTTGCTTTTCTGAAGTAATCTCAACCTGTGACTCATTGCTTACGTATTTAAGCTGGAAAATCTTGTGCTACTCTCTTTTGCAGCCCCGGATATTTGTTCTCTTAAGACGCTGTCTCTTTGACAATGATGATGAGGTAAGTCTATAATGGATGATGCCATTTTTTACTGTTTGCTGTGCAATTTTTTGTTTGTATTTGTACATTGTATTATGTGCTGATTCATGCATTATTGTCCCTTCATTTGTTATTCATGTTTGTTGCGTTCTTAATCCCAAGCTTTGGGAAGTCAAATGTGCTTTTTTTTTTTTAATCTTAATATTCAAATAATTTGAGGATTTTTAAATCTTTTTGTAGGTTCGTGACAGGGCTACACTCTATCTTAATACACTTGGAGGCAATGGTGCAGTTGTTGAAACTGGTGAAGATGTAAAGGAGTTTCTCTTTGGTTCGCTAGATATCCCTCTAGTGAACTTGGAGAACAGTTTGAAAAATTATGTAAGTTTCTAAACTTCTGTTACACTTTTTCTGCTTTTCAGGTCATTGCCTCATGTGTTTTTAATTTGGGTGTAGGAACCGTCCGAAGAGTCTTTTGACATTAATTCTGTGCCAAAGGAGGTCAAGACTCAGCCACTTGCTGAGAAGAAAGCTCCTGGTAAAAAGCCAACTGGTCTTGGTGGTCCTCCTACTGGCCCTCCATCAACTGTTGATACTTATGAGAAGCTGCTTTCATCAATTCCCGAGTTTGCAAACTTTGGCAAGCTTTTCAAGGTACTTAAATAGACTTTGCCTTGTGTGTTCCATGGATATAATTATTTAGGCATTATTTTTATTTTGAACTTAACTTTTTTCTAATTTTTATTTGCCAGTCCTCTGCACCTGTGGAGCTGACAGAAGCAGAAACAGAATATGCTGTTAATGTTGTCAAACATATTTTTGATGGTCATGTTGTGTTTCAGTACAATTGCACCAATACCATTCCAGAGCAATTATTGGAGAATGTAATGATCGAATTACACAAAGCATCTATAAATTACTCAAAACTTATGATAGTCTATCATGATAACTTAATCTGCCTGTTTCCAGGTCACTGTTATTGTGGATGCTTCAGAGGCCGAGGAATTTGCTGAAGTAGCTTCAAAGCCTTTAAGATCACTTCCATATGATTCACCTGGACAGACCTTTGTGGCATTTGAGAAGCCAGAGGGCGTCCCAGCTGTTGGAAAGTTTTCAAATATGCTGAGGTTCATCGTAAAAGAGGTATGGCTTCTCTCTTTTTTGGCTTTGACAGAATGTGTGGCTTTTTATAATGCTTCATTATTTGAATTGTGTAATGGCCATGCATTAGGTTTGAATTGGTTCTGAATAAGAACACATTCTGCAAAGACCACACATCTTCTTCCACACATCAAGTTTAAATTGGTTCTGAATGATAACACATTTTGCAAAGAAATCTAGTCCCCTCTATCTGTCTCTGTCTCTCTGTGTATCTAATTATAGTCTTTTGACATGAATTGAGGGAGTTTCAACTTTAATTAATATGCTAGAGTTTGTTTTCCATAAATGAACTGGACATTTTAGTTGGTTTTTCATATTCATGCTTGCATTGGTTCTACTAGGTTGATCCGAGTACTGGTGAGGCTGAGGATGATGGAGTAGAGGATGAGTACCAACTGGAGGAGCTTGAAGTTGTTGCAGCTGATTACATGTTGAAGGTGGGTGTCTCTAATTTCAGGAATGCATGGGAAAGCATGGGCGCAGATTTTGAGCGGGTAGATGAATATGGCCTTGGCCCAAGGGATAACCTGGCTGAAGCTGTTAATGCCGTCATAAATCTTCTTGGCATGCAACCCTGTGAGGTAAGTGCACTGTGTTTTTCTATTGTTTTACTCTATACTGTTGCTGTGGCTATGCATTTTAACTTTAATAATACTTAATTGCCATACATTGGACTGTCAAGTACCAACTCATCGTTTTTTTCTTTTTACTGCAATTCCACTGTGAGTTGATGATCTTTTTTATATATTTTCTGGCGGTGTCCAGGGCACTGAGGTTGTACCTAACAGTTCAAGGTCACACACATGTCTTCTATCTGGAGTATACATAGGCAATGTGATGGTGCTTGTGCGGTTGCAATTTGGAATTGACGGTCCAAAAGATGTAGCGATGAAACTTGCTGTTAGATCTGAGGACGAAGCCGTTAGTGATGCCATTCATGAGATTGTAGCGAGCGGCTAGGTTGTATATTGTTTATGTTTTGCCTCTAATCTGGCTGCTATACTTTTTTTGTTTTTTGTGGTTTTTTATGAGATGGGAGGCAGATGGCTTGGAAAAAAAAATGATAAGCTTGTAGAAAGAATTGTATGCCCCTAATTCTCGGTTTTCACTTGCATTTATCTGGTCATCTGTTAATCTAGCAAAAATATATCGTGCAAATCAGGCGGAATTTATTTTTATTTTTATTTTTTACAAAATTCTTATGTGGGATTAAGTATAGGATCCTTCAAAGCTTTGATTGATTCTATGAATATTGATTTTTGAAGTGGGGTTGTTTGTTCTTGTCACAGGAAACGTTTGGTGATTTTGCAGTAGCATTCAGCATTAATATCATGCCAAACTAGAATGAACCCCTGTTTATTTGCCAATATGAAGTTCGACTTAAGAGTTGTGATGATTGAAACGAACTTTCTAATGCTCAAATTCTCCTATAAATAATTGCTCCTAATTGTAGATTCAATTGGATTGTACATTTGTACTTGATCTTCGTCTTTCAAGAATACAGAAAAAAAAATCAAAAACCGATTATTTTCTGGTCCTAATGGTGATCTGTTAAAAGGCCTGTTCTAATCGGTACTTTAAATGGTAATTTAAAGGAACAATATGAGGTGAAATGCCCCCTTTCTTGAAGAGGGTTTTACAAGAGTTTTTGCTTCTAGATAGTGTTCTCAAATACAGACATGCCAAAGAGAAAGAAAAGGACCTTATTCCGAATGAGGCCTAGACTGCCAAGGGTAAACAGCAAAGTAGAAATTTACTTCGACTGCTATAAAACACAAATGTTACATTACACAAACTGGGAGAAGGAATGAAAACCAAAGTGGGACAATTTAGTTGGTAGCTCTCGGGTTCAATTAGTTGTTACTATGGGGGAAAAAAAATACACAAATCGGGCCAAGCTAAAAGAATACAAATGAACCTTGCTGCCAATATAAGTTCACAAGCAATGCTACCTTTTTACCCCTCTTTATGCACTAATGAAAATGGCTTTTCTCCATAAAAGTTACAACAGTGCAAGATTGGGGTTTCCCAAACCACGAACATGATTGAAATACAAAGGAATCTTCCAGATAGGGGTAATACAAGAAGGACAGCGTTAGGAAGAAGTCCTGAGATGGAGAGGACTCGCAATATAGAAATGGTTCCCTTAGGACTCAAATCACCCTTCTGTTCCCTCCAAATGCCCAAATCTGCCATGTCAAGAAGAATATCAAATTTAGCAGAAAGTCTGAATTTTCATTTTTTCATTAATAATACCAATACATACTATGCAGTTAAAAAAAAGATAAGAAAAAGAACAGAAGAAAAACAAGTATACAGGGCTGGTTTTTCATTTATACAAGTTGCAAATGCAATAGATAAAATGCAGAACATAAGACTAACCTTGAGGTTTGTATCCCAACTTCCTGTACACAAGGCACTACCATCAGCTGACAAACCCAAACAGCTAATCCGGCCCTCATGTGAGTTCTGGGGAGATCCCAAGTTCAAAACAACCTGACAAAAGAGAAGGTAATGAGAACCAGTGCCTGCTATATGCCAAGAGGAATCAGCTATAAATCATTTGAGCTCATGCTATTGCAAATAGCCAAAAGAAAGGGAGGAAAAAAAAAAAAAACTTTAAGGTGCATGGTTCCCAAGCTCAAAAGTTGAGGCTAAAAAGTAGAAGACAGACTTAGGTAACAAAAGGACTTCATTAATTAACATCTATAACTCATTACATTTAACACTTCATATGATGCGTTTGCACACACCATATTTGACCTGAAGAAAGGAGGGAAACTCAATAAAGCTCTTTATTCTTTCTGCTAAAGTATTTATTAAGCATCTAAGTCACAAAGCAAAACCATATACACCACAGACCATTGCCAAAACCAAAAAACGTGTGGGAGAGTCCCTGCAAAAGGAAAGCCTGCGAATCATCAATATTGATGAGCAGGGAAACACTGTCACAACAAACAATAACATTATATGCCTAAACCAATCTGCAATCCAAAACAAAACATCACAAAGTTCGAGAAAGAATTGAATCTTCATGGGGAAAATAGCTTTATGAAGATACTAAGAAATTATTCAGGTTCTGGAGTCAAAGGGCTGGAAAGATTAAGAAGATAAGACAAAAAAGGAGGGGAGGGGGGGAGGATGATGGTTGAGTCATTACCTTTGCCAATAAAGTGTCCCACACATAGCAATTTCCATTTGAGTATCCAGCAAAGAGAAGTCTTCCAGATATGGAGAAAGCAATGGAGGTCACATGTGGAACCTCATTATCACCGTGCTGCTGATGGTATACTTGCAATTGGTGACCAGTTCTGATGTCAAACAACCTGCAAGTTCCATCATCTGATCCAGTTCCAAACCTATTGCCATCTGGAAAGAACTTCACAGTGTTAACATCACCTTCATGACCATGAAACGTACGCACTGCTCGACTTGCAGCACGAGTATCCCACAATCGGGCAGTCGCATCACACGAACCAGAGACAAACGTTCTTGAGTCTGATGCATTAATGGAGACACTGAAAGAATGAAAAATATAACATTGTAAAGAGAACATATTATCTTTCATGAGAATATAAACATGAATATCACTAGTTATAGGATCCATCATATGACTAATAAAAGGAGCACAAATCAATCAGATGCAATTTTAAATATAGAAAGTGAGGTTCAGACTTCCTTGAGGTTATTACCGGTAGTTAACATATAGGTGTATAACAACATTATATTAATGTAAACTTTTCTGTATGAACTTGATACCCAGGCCACTTATTAAAAATATTGAGCACTCTATAAATGCGAATCAATGGACTGAGGAGGTAAATCAAATAGATCAAAACCAACATTCATTGGGGTCAATTCACCAAATCCACATATTTTTTCTAGAAAACATTTGCCATGATCTTGTGAAGATATCAGAGAAAGAATTTCTGTTAAAAATAGGCTGATAACCACATATAGGTTGAACCAACTTAAAAAAAAAAACCCTAAGATACCTTAGCACATCAGCAGTATGTCCAGATTGAAATTCTCCCCCGAAAATGGAAGTTCTGAGGCCTGTAGTAATATCCCATAGAACACAGGTCTGATCACCAGAACTCGTAATAATGTGAATGTCTTCGTTTGGAACATACTGACAGCAGGAGACATAGCCCTTATGCCCACTAAGGGTTTTTGATACAGGTAGGTTTCCGTCCCTGTCAGTTAGAGAATTCAAGTTGAAAATAGAGCACATACTATCAAGACCACCACAGGCAACCGATTGACCTGTGGGAGAAAAAGCACATGTCATAACCCATGCACAAGGCAGCTTTATGGCATGAGTTTTCTGGCTTGTTAGAGCGTTCCATACAATTAAGCGTCCATCCTGGGATGCACTGACAATTCTATTCCTTTCCGGGGTCCAATCCAATGAGTATACCTGTATAATTATTGAGAAATTAAATTCAACTAGACCACATCATCTATAGTCAGTGGAATGACAAGTGATCTACAATTGAATGAGATTCAAGTTGATTTTTTCTATCATCATGCAGTACTCAAGGGGTTGCATATTTGTCAAAACAATCTAAAAATGCCCATTTACTTTAATTTAGCAACTGTTTTGTTCCCATTTCAGTAAATATTGCTTCAGTGGTCTCACTTCCCAGTTTTCATCAGGTTCTATAATAAACCAAACCAACTTTTTTGTCTTCCAATGAAGCATTTCTTGTTACCAGTTTGCAATCAGTTAGGAACTTTAGCAAATTAAATTCACGGAGAAAAAAAGAGAACAAAAAACAAAAGTCTCAAAGCAATTCAATTTTAAATAATCTTTAGCAAATTTTACTTTCTTCCAAAATACCAAAAAAATCATCAAATCAAAAATTGTTCTAATAAAAAGATAGAAAAAAGAAAAAGAATACCTTGCCAGTGTGACCTTGCAAGATCCTGCAACAAACCAAATCCGTTGGGCCAAAAGTAACTGGACTCCTTCCCTGCGACCTTGCATATCCGGCGACTACCCATAATTTACCAAAAACCCAAACAGATCTCAGAAACAAATTTTCAAAATTCCCCAAAAATAGAAACAGTAAAACAAAATTTGGTACCATCAGTGTCGAGCAACTCATTGCGTCTCTGCCTTAGTCGCTCTCTTAGATTGTTTACTGTCTCCGTCGCCGCCGCATGCCTCTCTTTCAACTCCGGAACGGACATTTTCTTACTCTTTTCTATTTCTTTCGCTAAAAAATTTTAACTCAAAAAAAGAACCATTTTTTATTAGTTTTTAAATATTCTTTCTTGCGAGTTTATGAAATCAAGGACTCTCTCTCTCCTCTAACCATGGATGATTCATAATTAAAAGGGAAAATAAACCCAAAAAAAAAAAGATTTTTAACGGTGAAGGTGCTGGACTGATGGTTGTAAGATTATGAAAGGCAGTAAGGGAGGGATATTTATGAGTTGATTGGTAAGGTTTTGATTACTTGAGTTTGATTGACGCCGCCAGGCCCACCCATCACGTGGATCTGTGGACCCCATCCCCCTCCTCCCTTCTCTTTTTTCCTTCCATTGCCTTTCCTTTACCTGGTTAAATTCTACTATACAAAGAGTAAATGTTTCTCTGTTGGTAGTTCATTCTCCCATGTCAGAAAACAGTGAAGGCAGAAGCCAAAGCAAAGAGGCTGAAGACAATGTGTAAATCTTGGATTAAGAACCTTAAACCCAGTACTGCTGTTCATTTTGGTTTTGGAGATAAGCTTAAAAATCTGAGTTTAAAGAAAACGATTGTTTGAAAGTCAACCCTAAAGGAAAAGCCGTCTAAAGCAGATATTATATCAGGCCTGCCCTGGGCTGCGCTGCTGCCAACCGCTTGTCAAAACTAACATTTTCTTGATTTCTTCCCATGGCCATAATATCGGATTAACAAAAATATCAAATATTCCGTCCCGTTGCCGGGGATTGAATAATAAAAATAAGATCGATTATATCCTATAAAGTTTCGATTATTCACATTAAATTTATATTTTAATTTTATTAATTAAAAAAATTAAAAATTATCAAAATATAAAAATTAAATTAAATTCATAAATTATTTAAATTAAATATAAAAATATTTAAATTTGATTCAATCAATGAATTAAACTATTTAAATTTAGATTCGATTTAATAATAATCAAATTTAAATTTAAATTTTATTTAAATTAAATTTAAATAATTTATAAATATTAATTATTAGACAACATTGAAGCTTACGATTAATTCTTCAACAAAAATATATATAAAAAATAATTAATTACAAAATAAAATATTTTTCTGCAAAATATGAGTTACTATAATTAAATCATACAAATAAATTAAAAAATACATTTAAAATAAAAAATCAATTCGATGAAAAATCAATCAATTTAACTCAAATAAAATGAAAAACCCTCAAAAGCAAGGTATGATAAAGAAATTCAGAAGATATTGCGACATTCAAATTATGGGGCACTTTCTATTAGAGTTTGCCACCTTTAACTTCCTTAGATACGTAGCCATCGCCTTCTCATTTATTGCAGTCTCCTGGACAAATGATGGCACCTAGGCCTCGTTGATTTTAACGGTAACATTGTGGTACATTGTCTCAGTTTTGAGATTTTTTTTTCAGGACATCTTTAATTCAATTTTTCTACCAAAAGACAAAAGTATAATGCATTGATTAAATATCTGATAGCTTGGTGGAAACCCATTGTCACAGAAGAAACTAGACATCCTCCACAAATTAAACGTTACATTTCACATTGTAGACAGTCAGAGAAAGAGCCATGCCGACATGATTTTGACCAAGGAATGGAGCATACCTCCATGATCATGTTAGAATTTGAAATATCAGAACAATACAATTAAGGGAAATCAGCTCAAACTTGAAATTAATCTTCAGTTTGGGCATGGAAGACGCCACAATCATTGACTATAATACATTTATATATGATTGGATGCTTAAAGAACCATGATGCAGAGACATGCAAGAAAGAGGACCCCATTTTTAACCACTAAAATTTCATCAACATAATTGTACTTTTTCCACAGTTTTTTCCACCCTTAAATTTATTAGATCAAAAGAAAAAAGCCAGACTAAAGCATCCAGATCAAAGGAGAATAACTTTACAGTTAAAACTTTTAAATAAGACCCACAAGAAGGGACAGATGGCCCACACCCTTTATTTAACGACTCATATTCTTTGTTCAATTTCAAATCAAATTCATCTGCCTTTTCAAGTGCTCCCACCAGGGTAGATGCAATTATTGTAACCTGCAATCAAAGGAAAATTTTCATTCAGAAAAAGAACAAACACTAAAAAAGAAATGCTTGTCTAAGAGAAAGGCATGGATGCTAAGATAAGGAAGGGTATTGGATCTTATTCTTAATGATAAGGCACTAAAAAACGTCAAAACCTAAAATTTCATGATCGGAATCCCAAGGGATGATAAACCCAAGAGGAGAACATTGTGAAATGCTAAGGATAAAACCCCTTAAAGCTAGAGCCCCTTAAGATGTTTAAATCAATGCAGATACCGCAAGAGAGCATAAGTCTATTCACATTATTAAAAGTGGACAGCTTTTGATTCCTAGAATTATTCATTTGCCCACCAACAAACCTAAAGTTGACAAAACTTGTGCCTATTGGAATATATAAAATGACCAACTTTAGATAAAAGATAAATTTTATAGAACTCATGTTAGGAGTGAACATGTTTACCAGGATTTTGTGATGTTAGTGTTGCCGTCTGTGAGAAATCACAATTCGATGGATTCTTGGCAGAAGTCTGGTAGTAAAGGTTCATGGCATAAGCAGCATGCGATGCTACAGTATTTGGTTCAAAACAGGCACCTCCTGGTTGGATTGGACTGCAGTCAATGCCTTGGCCACAAGCATAGTCTAGATTTGACTGCAATTGAGCATCAGAAATACCAGTCTTTGGCACACACCAACCTGTCGCATTTGGTTTTGGTTGAGGATTCACTGGAGTCTGGAACATAGAAAAAGCACAGAAGAACGTCACTTACCATGCAAATAACGTCATTCAGGAATTCAAATAGCCTTCTTATCCCTCAAACTCATGGCAACTATACAATGGATCATGCAATTCAAAGGTTCTGAAAATTTCCAAAAACATTTTCGCCCAGGCCTTTATTTGGTGGAAGAAAATCATTTTTCAGAGGCTTAAAGAATACTAAATAATAAGACTTTGCATTTTTTACAGTTAGGGAGAGACTACATGATTTATGGTATGCTAAATTTATCTTGAGAGTATATTTGACAGTTCATGTCAAGCATTGCCGGGCTGTGATTACTTGAGTGGAATTACTCTAAACTGATTTCGTCATACGCCTTAAGGTGGGAACATTTCCACTATAGGTTTTACTGCATAAAGCTGACTTTGAGCTTCCACAATACTTCATCTCTTAAAGCTGGCTTGAAATTTTGTCTTCATATTCATCTAGGCTCTAGTGATAAGTGTTTCCCTCTTTTTTATAAGAAAACTAATTGTAAAGAACTTTTTTATTCAGCTTTTTGCCACCATGATATAAGCTTCAGATTAAGATTGTCAAAAATTCCTTTTAAGAATAAAGGAATTGGTTCTTCAACCATTGTTGATAAGGGTTTTTTTCTTCTTTTCTTTTCTTTTTTGTTCAAATACTCACCTGACTACTCTTTGAAATCCCAGCATCATATGTCATTGAAAGGTCAGGCCTGAAAAGTCCAAATGCCCGTTCAGAACCAGGGCCTGGCTTCAAGTCCTCATCATAGAGTGCAAAGAGGTATGTATCCACAGATTTTCCAGGCATCAATGCAGTCCCAACCATTGATCTCAGATGTGCAACCAAATTCCCATTATAGGCTTTTGCATTCTCGATGCCAGGTCCAACTTCATTACTGTCCCCGCTATATGGCCATCCTGTCTCAGCAACCATAATCTCAACATCCTTGAACCCCATAGCACTCAAGGCAGAATGCACCGCATCCACCTGCACATCATAATCAAGTTATGGAGCTAATGATATTCCATCATTTGAATACACTCAGTTTCCAACTGATGAATCAAAATCTAAGCCAGCATCCTAGATCAAATTCAAACACAATAATTTTTCAATTAATTACAACAAACAGTAAATATTAAATGCCAAAATAAGTGGCCAAATCACTATATTATGGTAAAAATATAATCCTTTTACAGTAATATGAGGGTTAGACTTTTTTAGACCTTTTTAAATGTTCACTTCTATGATGCATTCATCTACATCCAACCAGAAACAAAATTCTGGAAGAGCTAATCTATAATTATTGCAATGGCCCGCCTGTCACCCAGCACGATAAAGTCACATAAACTGCACTTAGTGGGTCCAATTATTCCATGAAAAAAGCCAAGAGGAATTAAAGAGATATAGTACTTAATAGGCATCACTAGATCGCTTCATCGCCTAGAGTTGGCTCTTTCTCAGACAAATGCATATATCACATGCTTTGTTTATATGCACAATAATTTTTTGTCAATTAGCATCTTATAGCAATAAAATTCATGAAAGACACAGCCCTGATCTTCACAGTTAATGGAGAAATGATGGTAGAATGGAAACTTTTAATGTGCAATGTCAGGATTTTCCACTCTTTGAGGTTGAAACATGCAATTTTGTAGAGTTCCCATTTTCATACGTTATGCCCTTGGCCAATTGCAACAAGATAATGAACTTAATCAAACTCTAAAACAAATTCAGTAGTTGGATAACTTTATTGTATCTGTCCCAAAAAAGGTGATGGAAAAAGGGATAATGAATCAAATTACCTACTAACTCATTTGTATTTAGTGACACAAGGAAGAAAAAATCATCAAAACCATGAAAGACACGACAGAAGCCTATCATCACTTTCAGCAAAATTAACAACAAACTAATGAACAATCATCAAATGACAAGTGTTGTTTTAAATCATTAATCAACTCAAGATAAACCTAACTTGCAATCAAATAAAATTTTCTTATATCTACAAAGCACCCTGATTCAGAAAGAAACAGCCGGATTGGGAAAAGAAATAAAAGAAATTGTGGGTTTAAGTCAAAAGGTAAATCAAAACGATGATAACTTACAAATAAAAAAAATTCATACGATCTAATCCCTCAACATCCTACGTCAATGTCGTGGATCAGTGACCAAAACTAACGTATGTCCCACGTTTGTTCCATACTATAGTCTGTTGACTCACATGTCACTCTTTTTTTTTTTTTTAACTGTTCGATAATCGAATGGAGGGAATAACTTTTTTTACAGTAAAAAATTAGTTCACACGTGAATTAAAAATTCCAATGACAATTAAATAATCAATTATTTTATACAAAAATGTTCTCATCTTCAAAAACATTCCTTGGAAAAGAAAAAGATTAATGCTTTTTGATTTTGAAAAATGCATTCAGAAATCAAATACAGTGTTTAAATTATAACTGACCTGGGCATCGAACATGTTCGTGTACTTGATCCCGTTTCCCGAGTCAACTCGTCCCGCGTTAGGTTGAAACAAGCAGAAGGCAAGCGTTTCAGGTCTTGAGTCACTTTGATAAGCGAAAAATGGGTATGGATTAATAGCAAAAGGGGACCCATTGTCCTTCTGAAACTGAAGCAAGCCCTTCAATGCCGGTTGATAACTCGGGCGAAACAACCCAGAAGATGGTGGGTCGGACTGACCCAACACTGCCATTGAATGAACCGTTGAGACCTTGATCTTTCCACCAAGTGAGGCCGCGTTAAGTGCATTTTGGACATTTAACATTGCCGGCAGAAGCTGGTTTATCAGGTTCGGGTCATTTGTAGACAAAACCTGTCAAGACAATAAATATTTTCAATTATGAACTGGAAAAAAAAAAAACTCTTTTTATTCATTTTCAATTTTCTAAAATTCAAGTTGGTTTTCACATGTAAAAGTTCTCACTTTTACTGAAATTTATGAACGATTACAAACTTTTTCTCTTTAATCTTTTTAAAAAATGAAAAAAGAAAAGGAAAATGCTAATTTTGGAAAGTGACCTCATTGCCAACAGTGATAAGAATGATCTTGCTAGCAGGGTAAAAAGGCAAAACATTGGAGTTAACCCACTGAGCAGCTGAGTTAGGATCAGAGGCCAAAGCTGGAATATCTCCATTAGCAGCTCCAATAACGATTCCAATTCCGGTGTTGGCTAAAGCTTTGATGATCGCAGGATCCGCCCCGTATAGCCTAACCTTTTCTATCAGCGTGGATTGTAGAAGTTTCGCAGTGGCTAATGGCGGCGGCAAGTTGTCAGCTACTTGCCCATAGTTCACTCCAATAAACGGCTCTGAACCTATTTACACAAAAAAAAACAAAAAACCAAAATTATAAAACTACTAAGTCAAGTTTGAAGTTAAGGTTTTGAAACTTGAAAGTGAAGTAACTGATAGTGATGCTGTTTCTTTCCAGTGCTTTCCTTTTCTTGGTCAAGGAAAAGGAAAGGGAAAGAGATGTCGCTTTGGTAGTAAGAGACTTACTTGCGAAGCGAAGGCAGAGAGGGAGGAGGAGGGAGAGGAAGAGAAGGAGAGTTGCCATAAAAGGGACGATGGAGAGACAGAGAGATTGGCTAAAAGGAAATTTTTTTTTTTTTTAAAATTAAGGTGTTGCTTATTGCTTAAGCTGAGTGTTTGAAACTTGGAAGGAATGTGTTTATATAGGGTGCACGTTGAGTGTCAGTATCAGTTTTAGTTTACAAACATCTGCAAGCAGAGAAATTACAAGGGAAATGAGTGTGGAAAAAGATTGGGTTTTGCAATCTTATATGTAAATTTCATGTAAATTTTCATGAAAATTTGCTGTTCATGAAATAACTTTCTTTTACTTAAACTTTATTTATTAAAAAAGATTGTAGTCATAATAACGGTAAAAAGTTGTAGAAAACTCAAAGCAGCTTCCTGGGTTCTGATTACTGATTGGAAATTTAACATTTTCAACCACCACATGCTGGGGAGTGGGACCAATTGTGCTTTTGCATTTCATATTTCCAGTTTTTCCACTACTGTATGATGTAGTTTTTCAGCCTTTTTTTTTTTTTTCCTATCAGGGAAAAGAATTTCATTTATTTTAGTTTGGCGTGTTAGTAGGGAGGGGGCAAAGAGGGACCATACATAGAAGATTTTGTGGTGATCTCATTTCTTCTATAAAGGCAAATCAAATTGTTCCACAAAAACCTTTCCAGGAAAGAGCTAGAGTCGGTTGTAATCCAAACCCATACCTCTGTTTACCTTTCTGCCCAACTCCACGAATGCCATTAGACCCAAATTAAACCAGGCAGTAATATTTACATAAATTACTAACTAGTCTTTCAATTTTAGTTGTTATAGTAAAACAAATTGTAAAAATAGATATGCGATTAGTATTTCAATATCAGTGTATGAAAAACTAACATTAATATTTTAAAACAAGTCAATTTCTACTTGAAAAAAATGAGTGAAATTGAGATACTTATTACTTTATTCAATCTAGGAATAAATTGATTGATTATAATATATTTCGGCTTTTGATTTTGAGGTTGATAGTTTGGTTTCTTAATTCCAATATTGGGACCGCTTGCCTGAATATCAAGCAACTTTTTTTTTATAAAAAAAGTTATTCATATATTGTTCAGATGTTAAGCTACCTAAAAGCTACTATTTCTCTGAAATAAATATGATTTTGCCTGAACCGAGCCATGGTACCGCCTTGACTTGAACTTTATGACCATACCATAGCCTCAAGTGGAGCAGCTGTATCTGAGGAAGAAACTGGTGTCACTTTGTCTAATCTGGCTTTCTTTGGTTTATTAGAATCGGCCGTAAATGTATAGGAATATAAGATGGGTTCAATCAGCTGTGAAGAATTTGACCCACCAACTTCTCCAGTACTGCTTGCGCCAACAGCGAAGGATTGCAATTGCATTGCAGCGGCTTGCCCCACTTTCAAAAAGTGACCTCCCATTGGACCTTCCTTGCCTATGATTGAACAGCGACGGAGAGAGAGAGTGAGGTTTTCGTATGCGAAACGTCAATTTCCGGCCCATTTCCATTGCTCAAGTACAAACAAATTCAGCGCGCTCGACACTTCTTCATGTTGATTTAGAGGAGCACATATATGGACAGACACATGAACCTTTACTCAGATCCACGCCAAGTTTCACCTACAGATTCCTTCCAGTTTATCCATCGCTATCATGTAAAAATTATAACGTAGCCAAATCAAATAATATTATATTTATATAACCAATCCCCAGTCTCAAGCACAGGAAATACTACAAACATTTTATATTCAAGCTACGTTTTGCAATCAATTATCTTGATACTTTCATTCGATCATTTGACACAATATTGATATATGTTTTTGTTGCTCAAATAGCTGAATTCAAATGATCCCATTCTCCTAAATCAAAAAAATAAATAAATAAGCCTAGAGCACTTATAATCGCACTTTAGGAAACGTATGGACTGATAGTAATAAGCAACAGCTTGGACATCATTGTCATAAAACAGTGTCCCCTAACCATGTGAAGTGTCATTTGCGTCAGAAAAGAAAAAGGTACAATATTGTTTTGAGTATTGTCATAATATGTTAACATCATTGGGGAAGGCAGTTTCGCCCCACTACTTTAAGCGGATCAATATACTATTAGTTGCAAACTAGTAATTTGTAGTTACTACTACGTTTCACATTTTTTTACCTGAGTTCTTGTTTCCAGTACATCCAAATAAATAAGCAGATTGAATCTAAGAAAAGCTGCATGCGCAAAAACACATATTAATTCATTTACAAAAACCAAAAGCAGAATATTATAAAAACAAAGTTCAAATTACAACATAAATAGTTGCAAAAAGCTCCAACTTATCTCAAGAAAACAAACACAAAGAAAGAGATCATGGAAGATTCAAACTGTTCAGAGTATAACTGAAGGAATAGACCAGATGATGACCAACAGATGTGTCATAAATATATAGACAGCGATTGTATCAAGGCTACAAGAAATCAAAATCACCCACAGCTGTCTAAGGAAATAAAAGAATAAAGTAGAAAAGGAAAAGCTAAATTGTCGATTCAAATAAATCTCAATTAACCTCCTGAGTGCGAGACTGGAGTAGTTTCAAACTGGCCATCCTTGAATACATGGATATACTGTTGCGGCAAAGAATGCTCCCCCTACAACAGAAAACATGGTAAGCAAACAATGTAACCTAACGCTGTCATTTCATAACATGATGCTGACACAAAAATAATTAATGGAATATAACAACCATTAAACTACTTATACATTAATCTACAACATTTTAGAGGAGAGAAAGCACATTGCCTATCTTTGCTTGGTGCTTTGAGACTTATTCCTACAGTAGCTAGTGCAAATAGAGGTAAGAAAATGACATTAATACACCCTAAATTATCAGAAACAAGGGTCTGATTAAAAATTTAAATGCAGATACCTCTTTCAAGCTGATATATATAAAGACCCAAAAATATTCTTATACGTATAACAGTCAAAGGACCGTCTAACATTGAAGTTAATTACATAAACATGTTTTTATGTTCTTACATTTCTAGGGTGTATGATCATAATAATGTTGTAAGGAAATGCAAGCAACCATGTAACCAAAACAAAGGATCAAATCTCAAACTAAACCAACCAAGAAAAGCAAAATATCTTCCTTCCACTGTACCAGCTAACCATTGTAATCAAGACTTCAAGTTTATAATTAAATTTTAATTAGCATTTTCCATTCTTACTCATGCTATTAACAGTCTTTCAACTGAAATCAAGAAAAAACATTTAGTGGCACATGAATATTGCAGTTTTAACACAAACATTGCTTTCTATAAGACATGGCAACCAAATGGATAACAATGCAATTCAGGCCAACTATTCTATAAGTAACATAAATGAATTACAAACTGAAGGAAGGAGAATATAGGTAATCAAGAAAACCTTATAGTCAAAAGGTTCAAAAACACAGGAAAAGGCTTGTCAACTTACCCAGTCACCATCAGACCCAGCAGCAGGTACTAATACATTGATCTCACTTGACTTTGCCGTTGTTATAGATGCCCCTAAAGAATCTTTGCTTAAGTACAACTGACAGCCAGATGTGTTGTCCACTGAAATTGTAGGAGCAGAACCCTAGAACAGCCACAAAATAGATAATCATAAGCATAAACACTATCAATCACGAATTACAGCAACAGTAAGTAGTAACAATATCAAAGAGCATGGAACAAAAGCCAATTATGTGCTAATTTATGGCACATGATAGCATAGCCAGAATTTGCTTGCAAGGTATTTATATCAGAAGGAAGAAGAAGAAAGATACCTGGCATTGCACCTCAACACCATTGCAGTTTACTATCTCACAAGCAGCCACAACGTCCTGCACATTTAAGCAAATATGTTACACTTCTGAAAAATAGAAATGTTGAAAGTAGGTTTTTGCCATACAAACCTGAAATACCACTCCCATCTTAGTGCATTTGTCAATTGTTATATTGTTGACTTTCCCTACAAAATATCACAAAACCGCTAAGTTGCTCATGACTTTTCAACATTCATCTCTTTCAAATAACAAAATGATTAACAAAGGCAAAGCAAACAATTACACATGTAAAGAAATTACAATGGAGTGTGAAAAATAAATCAGGCATTTTGATATAATAAACTTACCCTGAATCTGCAAAACAGAATCCTTGCATCCAAAAACATATACAGACTGTTTGGCATCACAGTCATCAATAACTAAGTTCTTTCTTCCAATTTGGTTCTCAACAACCCACCTGCCAATATTACAAGTAAGAGACACTTAACAATTCAAATACCACTACCAACCACCTAAATAAAAATTAAACAAGCATACAGAAATCATGCACACTTACTTACGACCCATTTGCAGCTCCAGTTTTGGTGGTCCTGCTTTAGAGAAAGAAGATGAGCTGGAGCGTGTTTCCTTTTCGAGAGCACTAACAACGCCTGTTCTATCTGTACGGTTCTTTGTCTTCATATCAGTAGTAACCTTCTTCAGGCCTAGACATTAAGAGAATCAGATATTGGGGGCTCAATATAGACAGAAAAGATAGACAGCAAGGCAGAAGAGACGGAGGGGAAATAGGATACCTGCAGTAACATTCCCAGTATTGATTTCTTGGAAAACAGCTGCCATCCCTTGTTTTGGATGTGATGAAGAAGGTTGAGAAGGTTCTGAGCTGAAAAGACAAGCAGGTGGAGGAGGAGGAGGTGCGGGGGCACCTGGTGGAGGAGCTTTTGATGGAGCACTAGATGCCTTTTTACCAGAAGCACTCCATACTGGGCCAAGAGGATAATGACTTTTGACATAATCCCTTAGACCTGGCAAATACAGCTCCTTCAAAGCTTTGGCCCACTCAACATGGTTGGGATCTTTGTTTCTGTACTCTACAAGCACCTGATATTTACAGTACATATTTCAATACCAACCAACCAGAAATTTTGCTCAAATGTACGAACATATCAATTGACAATAGATGAAAAAGATACAATCAGAATGCGTTAACCACCACTTACAAAAAATTTCAATATATTAAAGTTTCTCACTATAATATATATATATATATATATCTGTTGCATAAAAAAGAGAGGTTTATCCGACCAGCATCATTGACCAATTTTTTAAGAAAGAAAGAAAGAAAGAGAAAAAAAAAAACATTAACATATGGAAATGATAAGAAGATTTAGCAACCCTGTTAAGCATCCAATGCCGTTCCTTAATTTTCTTCCTTAATCTCAAAGCAACAGATACATGCATAATGGATGTCTGTTTCCAGGTTGAGTTGCTGGCTTCCTAAAAGTAAAAAAGTACCTTGTTGTTGTAAAATTCAGCCATTTGCCAACCATCTTCCACATGTGCAATTGGCATGCTCATACCTTCAAGAGAAAAGCATTACCAAGAATCAAACAGCAAGTGGCAGCATATCAGATGTTATTGTCATATAAAATTATAAAAAGGCTATTTACACGTAGCAAGACCTTCACTGGATATGATGATTTACACAACAAGCAGCATCACAACTTATATTCTTTAGCTAAAGGCCTAAGCATGAAAAGCAGGAGTGGAGGTCACACTTTTTCCAGAAGTGTGATTAGTTTAAAGCATGAGCCTAATTCAAGCTGTGAACAAAGGCAGAAATATAATCCACACTTTAAACAGATAGTGTAAACCAGACTCCTGATTTTGTTCAACATAAGTTAGGAGTTATGCTACACCCCACACGTGAATCACTTCATTGTGCAAATACAGTTAATTGCAAATAGGGCACCACATACATTCACATACCACAATCTTTTCCAGTGTAAGCAATCCATGCTAAAGCTGAAAGACTGTCCCCAGCACTCTTCAAGTGGTTGTAAAAATCAGATCGCCTCCCTTCTGCCATGGCATTAGCCTTCATGATCACTTCATTTAGTGGTTTGAGAAATTCAGCCAAGCCTGCCATATCAGGTTTCTGTACCAACAGAGCAGAATACGTTAAAAATTTCATGAGCACATTAGAGCCACTGAATACGATACTAGCAAAGTAAAAGGATAACAAGCAGACAGCAGCTAGAAGATCAATATTTTGCCCTAGCATCTAAAACCAATTTATTCAAAAAAACAAATAACATCAAACATTCAAGCCATGAACTGTTAATTTCCTCTATGACAACATCTTCTTTAGACAGCTTCCTATAAACTATATGACCCAAATGCTTCTCCGCGAATATTATTTGTTAAGAAATGGCCAAATAATGTCATATCTCAATAATTATCATGCTTTCTTAAGATCGTGAAACAATTATGGTCAAATTTCAAACATAAATGGACACTCTCCTATTGGAATCAACGGTATTAGATCTATCTAATAGATAAAATGTCTCTGCATAGCACCTAAAACCAAAACCTCTTCTATACAATCATCACAACTATAAATATTTTATACCTGAATCTAATTCACTGTATTTCACATAATTCATCACAAAATAAAATAATAAAAAAATAGTAATAAAAAGCTCAATCAAACAAAATAGGCACAATAAAATTTAATTAAATAAAAGGAAAAGAAAAACTGTAACCTGAGTTTGCTTGATCTCGATCAGAAGCTTCTTTTGCACAGAGAAAGCCTCGAGAAGAATCTTAGTCACATCCAGCACTTGACCTCCAATCTTCTCCGCAGCACCGGAAACCCTAGCCACATATTGAGCCATCAGATCGTCAAACGCCACAATCGAGGGATCCGAAGCCACCTCAACACTGCCATCCGGTAAGCCTCTCGCCGAAATTCCACCGGCCGATAGAGCCTCCAGCCGCGCCACCGCGGCCTCCAACCTCTCTATCAGCTTCCCCTCCATACTCAAAACTAAACTCTCTCCCTTCACTCTACAAAAATGCTCCAATTCACTTTAAAATTTCTCGAAAATTTTGAAATTGGTCCCTAGAGCAGATCTGGAGTTTGAAATGATTACATAACTACTTTTTAATTCTCTTTTTTTTTTCTTTTTTTTCTTTAATCGCCGAAAGGTGGGAGTGAGAGAGAGAGAGAGAGTGTGTGTGTGTGTGTGTGTGTTTGTTTGTTGTCGCAGGATTTGTTTTTAAGAGATTGAATCTGATGAAGACACGTGTCGGTAATACAGGATTACCGCAAATGGCAAAAAATTATATGAATATTGTTTCTTTTTGATGTTCCAGCTGAGGAAAGGGGTTAATCAATTGAACAGAACAATCAAGGATGGCAATGATATTAGTTTGATAACCATGAATTTTAGCCGTTTCTTACCCAGACAATGCACTTCAGGTTTGGAAACATTTGCTTGTTTTGATTGACATGATTTCGGTCTCTTTACCGGGAACATGCTACTCAGCACGACTGTTCAACCATGTGCCTACGACTGGAGTCCCATAATGGTGTGAACCAAAAATGATACAACATCAAACTTTTCGGGTCAATGTTACTTTTTTTCCTGCTCACTGAAGCCCCACATTGGAATCAGTGGTATGATTTAAGCTGTTTACCTATCCTGGCAAAATGGTGCTGCCATTTCCTGCTAAAAACAAAGGGGGTAGGCTATTTCAACAAACAATGACATATCCAGTGTCCACAACAAAAGTAACCTTGGAGCAGTTTACTAGGCATTGTCGGTGAAAGCAACATAGAAATACTCCCTTGTGATGTTGGTGAAACCAACAGGATACCAAGTTCAAGTTAGGTGGTAACTGAATATTGAAGCATTTCCTCTTCTGTTAGGAGTTATCATTTCCCAAATTCCCAAACGGTTTCTTCATTCTCAGGCACTTCTTAATCTGGTAAGAAATCAGTTTTCAAAGTCTATATTAAGTTGCAGATAAGTGATCGATGGTTCTATTCTTGCAGTGGCGGGTTTAAATTGCTAAATAATCGTAAATGAATTCACAAGTTTCAATTGTTTTTCAAGTCATCGGCTTCATGATATCCACAGTATCTGACATTTACGGTAAATACGGCAAAGTGAAAGAAGTTTTACACCTCTGCTCACTTCAAATACCATGAATGTCAAAGCAGAAATTAAAGATCTTACCTTTAGTTACAGAAGCTTATTAGTAAATAATTTGGCACTGGAAACATGTCGCGGATGAGAAAAATGTTTGTCACCTGAATTTAAACAATACTTCCTTTATACGGAACAAGTCTTTGGCAGACATCAAGTATATCATGGTCTTCATCAATACAGGAATAGACAGGATTGACATTCTTAAACAGACTGGTATAATATCAAATATTAAAAGGCAAGTACATATTGTTTTACAAAAAAAGAGGGGGTACATATTTACAAGGCTGGTTGAAATCTAAAATGCCGCAGTGTATCAACAAAAAGTAACCAAGAAAAATTATATATGTGCACATCCAAGGTGAGTAATCTTTTCATGTAAACTAGTAGAGAACTTATTCTACAACATAATCTGACCTTAGGAACCATACTGCCTTGAACCAACAACAATTATCTCCATCTTGATTTCTCTGCATCAACATTCTCAACACGCTTTGGATGGGGAATTTTCTTGGATATTGGCACAGAGGATGGAATGGTATCTCTCTCCTGCGCCAGCCGGTGCTCCTGCAGAAAAAGGAACAGGTTCAAAACACTAAAAGCAAGGGAAAACAGAATCAAAATATGATGGAAAAGTCATCTCAAGGAAATAGAAATGGGTAATTCCCTTGCGGATATAATGACAATCAGATTAATACATCAGCATGTTTTAAGGTTTTTATAAACATATTAACCATCAACAACTGTTGGTCCCTGGCATGCTTGATGTCCTAAGTGCTCGGTGTGGATAAAAATTCTTCCAAAAGAGCATGAAATCTTGCACTCACAGGAATTAAAAAGTACATGTACTAAGGACTCAATATGTGTTATCAGTGGGATAAAAGAGTTCAGACATCTAATACTCAACTGAGCCCATATGGCTCCCTTTTATTGAAAACTCATTCTTTACGAGGAAAACTTTGGCCATTGACATAAACAAAATAAAACTTCACTTCATGGAAAGAACATGAAAATATGCTTTTCTTGACCACCAGGACCAATCAAATCTTGAAATTAAAATAAAACTGATGACAGACCATTACAATAAAGGTTATGGCATGTTATTAGTAATCAAGGACTAATTATAAAAGGTTATGGAGAAAGCATGTGAAAGAAGGGCTTACAGAGCGGAAAGGAAAATCATCTGCCTCAAGCATATGAACAATCTGCCCCATTTTTGGGCGCTTATTGGCATCCAAATCTATACAGCGGAGACAAACAAGCAATGCTCGTTTCAAAGCCCTAGGTGAGGGTTGAACTTCAATCAATGGGTCCACAAGATCTTCTCCACGACGACTTGCTACCATACCTTTGAACCAATCAACTAAGTTCATCTGAAGCACATCAGAACGAAAAGGTATTATTATGGTGTTTTGGCAGTATTGCAAGAGAAACATTGTTTTTACCTCTCCAGGTGGCCTAGAATAATCAATTGGGCTTCTCCCTGTAATTATCTCCATGAGTAGAACTCCAAAACTATAGACATCACTTCCCTCATTAAGCATACCTGTGCTTGCATATTCCGGGGATACATAACTGCAGAGAAAAAAATATATATCACACAATAAGAACTAATGGTGTAGGGTATAAATATGTTTCCATCTACCAAAATATAGACGTGGTTATGAAAGAGAACAAACCCAAATGTCCCCATTACACGTGTAGTCACATAGCTTGCTTCAGAACCCAAGAGCTTGGCTAATCCAAAATCTGATACTTTTGGGTTCCACTTTTTGTCCAGAAGAATATTACTTGATTTTACATCGCGATGCACAACTTTAGGTTCCAGCCCTTCATGCAAATAGGCTAACCTGCAAAAGAAGCAAGAAACATAACAATTTAGTGTAGGGAAAAAGGATGGAAGTATGACAAAAACTAAAACCACCGCCTGCACAAGTTAAAATTACAATAAGAAGATGCAAAATAATTTCACAGAAGGTTTTGATGAAACCTCTGCTGCTCTAAGCAGATATTTCTTGAGTATTTGTAAGGTTTTTATTAATGTTTCAATTTTCAGTTTTCTTCTTCTCACTGGATATGATCCTATCATTAAGGATAATAAGTAACAAATGTGAAAAAAAATTTCTACGAAGACAAATTGACAAGATTAATGCCACTTAAGATGGTATGCAACTGCACATGTAAAAATTATTTTTCAAGCAGAGGCAAGAAAATAATGCTTCATGAGACTGGGAAAGGAAAAAAAAACAAAAAGAGGGAATTCCTCACCCTTTTGCCGTTCCTATTGCAATCTTCATTCTTATATCCCACGTAAGAGGACTAATAGGCCCTACATCACCATGCAACCATTGCTCCAAGTTCCCATTGTCAACGTATTCATACACAAGCATCCTGAATAAATAGTAATTTAGTATTGCCAGTTCATTTCCATTAAAGATGTAAGGTTTGTCTGTCAAGTGGCATATACAAAAATTACCTTCGAGCTCCTTCCGCGCAATATCCAACTAGACCAACCAAGTTCTTATGCCTCACTTTGCCAATGGCTTCAACTTCCACGCTGAACTCCTTCTCTGCTTGGCCCCTGTTAACAATGCATCAGGAATTTTGCTTAGAAAACAATTAAACTAAACAAAGTAAATAAATAAATAAACAAAACTTGATTCCCAATTACCAGTCAACTCAAGAGTAAGGACAAAACAAGGAAAGCCAAAGTAAAAGCAAAGAAAGTGAAAAACAGTTCGATTGTTTTATTCGAATATTAAAAAAAGAAACACGATTAGCTAAGTTGGTTATGCACTCGCTTAAGATGACATCGTGATGTTCAAAAGTAACACCAAAATAATAAAGAACAAAGTAACCATTTTTTTGCTTTCCCTAGTTCTGCGCCACGCAACAAAGACAAGAAATTTACTTTATTTAAAATAAAAAAAGCAATCCAAAGCCAGATTGTAGTCAAGTTACAATGTTAGACCCAATTTAAAAGAAACATAATCTTTAACAGTCTGTCTTAGATCTAGCATGCATAAGATAAAATAACCAAGATAAAGATTTTCCAGGAAACTGCTTTGTCTTTTCCCTAGAAACAAACGGAGTAATAAAAGCATGATCTCGTTCATCGATATGAAATTAAGAGGTTCACTTTACGTACTTGTTATTAAGCAGATTTTTTACAGCAACGACAGAACCGTCTTGCAAAATGCCTCTGAATACGACACCGTATCCACCTTCACCGATCACATTCTCCTCGGCGAATCCACGTGTCGCCATCTCGAGCTCCTTCATGCTATACCACCGACCCCACCCGATATTCTGAACATCCGCCGACACATCACTGGCTCCCGAGGCATCATCGCTAACTCCTTCTCTACTCTTCTTGGGAACCACATTCCCCATTTTGCCCTCCTCTGTAAAGCAACCTACGTTTTGATCCAACGCCTTGATCTCGACGATCTCTTTGGAGACCAACGGAATAAGACCTGAGCTATGCTTCACCTTCCGCTTGCGCGCGTTTCTGTTTAGACGGAAACATAAGAAGATTGCGAAAGAAAACAGAAGTACGAAGACTACGAGGATTGAGATTACTATATAAAGTTTAAGTTTGAACAACGGTGTTTTTGATGAAAGAATATGAGTTATAGAATTGTTTTCGTTGTTGTCGTCGGTTTCGCCGCTGACCGGCATTGGTTCCGGCGAGGGATGGAATTTTCTGGGAAAAGTGAAAGAAAATGTTAAGAGAAATAACGATTAGAAAGAAAGATTTCAAGGAGGGCTTAAAGACTGGTAAAAGTTAGGGAACATAGTGGTTTCGATGCTTTAAAGAGAAAGAAAAAAGAAAGCTTCAACGGATACAAAGGAAAAAAGCAAAGTGAAGCAAGACATGGATGATGAGTTGTAACTATATTGGGTTTTGCGTTGGCGTATGCGGCTTTATTACGGGAATGCCACTGTAGACTGATTACTCGCTCTTCTTCTGCTTTAAAATGACTAAAATAACCCGAAAGGCCAAAGCCCCCTCTCACTTGTTCTCTTTTTCCTTAATCAACGATGAAAATGATGATTACAGTACTATTATGAATCTTTAATTCGTAATTTATTAGTTTTAATTATGATAAATTTTGGAGTAACAAATCATATTTAATTTCATTAGAATAAACATTTAAACATATTCAATTTCAATAATAAATTATTAACTTTAAGAATATATTTATTAAATTTTTATTTTACAAAACAATTTTTTTGTATCATTTGAAAGGGAAAAAAAACTTGGAAAATGTAGAGGAGGAAGTTGTTAAGCAAAATTCAAGGGAAAAAGCATGTGCAGATCATGATGAACTGAGAAACTAAAGCGAGATCTCTTTGTGATTGAGTTCCTTAATTTGGAGCAAAGATTCTCCGACAACAAGAAGATCTTTAACATTTGGACGAGACAAGATTAGGTTAAAAATACTATGCCGAACAACAAGTTTTCAGTTCTTTTTTGTTTTTCAACCAATTTTTTTCAGGGAACAATGGCCGGTCAGCCTTTACGTAGATCACAATTTAAGCCGACCAGAATTCCACGAGATTTGAACAGCATCGGACATCCCCCATTTGCCTGGTTGAATGTGAATGTCGAATGTAAACTTGCTACCTAATGGCCATTCGTCCGGTAACCTCCTTTTGCTTGGTTTTAACAACTGGTTTAAATTCTTGATCCGAAAAAAATACACCCTTTTTTTTTAATACTGTTTAAACCATGGAAAATTACAGTTATGGTAGTAGTTTGAAACTTTCCAAATACAGATCTGTATTTATTGCAGATCAGAAGAAATTGCAGTAGGTGAAATTGCCCTGGTGTTAATCATTTTTGTCATTGCTTCTCACCAATGCAACCTTGCTTCAACAATCATTGCCAAAAATGAAATTTAAAAACACAATAAATCTTTGTCGAATTCAACAATTTAAATTGTAATAACTGAAACATGAAATTAATAATAATAATAATAATAATCATATTATTAATTTAAAATTCAACTAATTTTTTCATGTTAAATTATATGAAACCTAAGTACTATTCTAATATAAATACGTATTTATGTTTAAAAGGCTATCGATTATTGTACGTAACTGTCATAAGTATTTTATTCCATGAATTTAATTTTATTAATCACAAATAAAATCTAAGATCATTTTTTTTTTTGTTTTCATTTAAAAAATAAAATCATCTAATAGAAAGCTTGAGGTTTTTAAATCTTCAAATGAGAAAATCTTGTGTGTTAGACAAATTGCAATATTTGACCATTAAGATATATTGCACATCATAGCTACGTACTCTCTAGCGTCAATGATTTTGAAAACACAACTAATCTACTATTAAGCAACAACTAATATGTAAGTTAATGAGTTAATCCAACATTATTGATCAACTGGAGGGGGTTTCTCGTAAATTTGGCAAATGGAGGCCTGCTTTTTTTGTCGGTGTTGCCGTAGCCTTCCCGAAGAATACAACGGTGGTACGATGAGAGCGGGGCCCCTGAAAACCATATTAATGAGAAATGTGGGGAATTCGTGAGTTAGGAAATGGGGGCAGCACAGATTTAATTGGAGCGCCAGGTTTATGCTCAAACCATTTCAAATTTTTCCAGTTGTCGGGAATTGAAAAGTTGTTGAAATCCAGAAAAGGCTGCAGTTTGGGCTAATAATTAGTGCCCATATGTATCCAAAGAAAATAAAAACAGTGGTCACTGGTAAGTGTAATTAAACGTCTGAATGACACGTTTGTAAGTTATTCAGATTAATTTTGATTTAATTATTATTGAATTGATTTTGAGTTATCGATTTAATTAAATTTAAATATTTTTATATTTAATTTAGATAATTTATAAATTTAATTAATAAAAATTTTAAATTTAAGTTTTAGTTTAAATACAAATAATTAAATTTTTATTGAATATAAAAATTAAATTTTTTTTATATATTAATTAAATATAATAAAATAAATTTAAATAATTTAATTTTTATATCAAGTGAAACTTAAACTAAATAAATAAAATTTAATCGAATTTGAATCAAATTTTAAATTCAATTCAAATTTAAATTTAATATTATATCAATTCGAACTTAATTTATTATATTCTCATATGCACTTATTTAATTTTTGTTGATCAATAAAAATTGCCGTCAATCTAAAACTTAATTTTATTAATTGATATAATTATATCTAAAAACTATAGTAACAAGTGGTCCATCTTAAATTAGAGAAATTATCTCATTTATTAATAAACAAGTTTTTCGATTTTGCAAGTGAGGTTAATAAAATAATTAATGTCTTTTAAAATACATTTAAAATAAAAAATTAATTTTAAATAATAAAACATGTGATAATTTTTTAATCTCATTTATAAAATTTTAAAAACCAGGCTATTAGTTTATTAAAATGGGATTCTTTGGGTTCTCCCAAAATTATTTATCAATCGATAGAGATGACTTATTTTTCAATCGTTTGTCACAAGTGGTCCATTTTCAATTATTTTGAAAGTTGTTATCAATTGATAGCGATGAAATCCTTTTTCAATCGTATCATACAATTATCCGTGTGTAATTTTAGACTCTTAAGGGGCCAACAGAAACTAAAATTTTCCATTTTTTTCACAAGGAGAAGTCACAACTACTCACCTTACATGATGTGTCCAACCACTCCAGCAATGTCATTAAACATGAGCTCATTAGCTCGTGAAGTTGCGTGAATCATCGAAAACATTTGTGAATCGACTCTGCCATTGAAACTTGGATCTAAATTTTGAAATCTTCTTCGATAAAACAAGCAAAAATCATGGAGAGGGATTGCCATATCAGCATATACACGATAAACACGGGATCATTTTAGGTACCATTTTTTTATTATATATTTTCAATTATCCAATCATAATAAAAAATCAGATAAAGTTTATTATTTATAAATGTGAATTTATAATTAATTAATTATAATATAATAATTATAAGTGATATTTTTAATACACGAAATGTTGTTGAATGCAAGCAAACTAAAAGAATCTGTTTGGTTCAAACTGAAAACAAAACAAAAATGACAATCAGAACGGTTAGTTTATTGTAATCACAACGGTTGCATCTAAAGTCAGACAATAACAAGTAGTAAGAAAGAAGAACAAAAAAAACAAAAACCTTGATGAAACTTGTCTAAACTTGCTAGTGCTTCTGTCTGATAGGATTGGTTGGAGTTGGGACCAACTCCTAAAGTCCCACGCGGTATGGGACCAAAGCAACAAAAAATTGTGGGATTTGCAGTCATTAAGGGTGCTACGCTCTGGGAAACACTGAGATGCCCCACGCTGGTGCAATGTGTTGTATTGATTGTTCAGTTGGTTTGCCCAAGGTCTCCGAGGACCATGTTCCGGTCGACCATCTTTATAATTTATAACTTTTTACTTGCGTTTCAGCCTTGTAAAATCATCAATCTCTGGTCCACCATCAACAGTTTCCCATCAACCGGTTTAAATCCAATATTTTTTTGTTTTGGGTTTGTTTGAAAGAGTAATAATTATTTTTAATATTATCGTCATTGTTATCGAGTAAATTCTATTTAATGTACAGATGGAATAAAAGGGGTGATTGGCAAATGGATTATGAGAAGTTATAAAGAGTGACAAGCAAGTGGGTCAGAAACTTTTGACACGTGGCAAGATGGAGGATACTTGCATCCCATAGAACAAAATAGAACAAAAGAGATTAATATTAATTATATATATGATTTAACCAATCCTATAGAATAAAGATTTTAGTTGCCAATAACTTTCTATTTTACAATGAGTTAAATAAGAAATTTTGTAGGATCAAATCATGAGTTAAAATGAAATGGAAATTTTGTTTATTTGATTGTAGATGATGGGAAGTTTTGAATCTATACTTTTGTATTAAAAAATACATCAATTATTAAATTAAATGCTTGAATGCAAATATGATCCACAATTTGAATGCTTCTTTTAATGTTATTAATTTTTACCTTTTGAAGGATAAATTAGGACATAAATAAAAAAAATAAATGAATTATATATTTTTTAATTAATTACCTTAAAATATAATTCATAATAAATAAATAAAAATTGGATCTATTCATAAAGAGACTTGGGTTGATGTACCAAAAAAGAGAAACAATTGGGTTGGGCTACGTGTTTATCCAAACTCGACAGCCAGATCCATTAGGCTCAATAAAATAGATGGTCTGATTCTGGTCTGGAGAGCTTGGTTGTCACGTGAGGATACGAGCTCAGCTGAGTTCCCCACGTGCATTTTGAAGTTCGGCAGTTAGCCAGTTAGAACTTACACTTAGTCAAATTATTACTGGACTCCTAATAAAGAATTGGCGCGTACTCTTCACTATCGTCTCCCAACAAAGCTCTTTCTTCTTCAGTCATAAGTTTCCACGTTAGCAAATCTAGGGAGTAAGATTGAGCAACTCATCATCCAATACAATAAAAATAAATAAATTTGCCATCCTTATCTTCTTTTATCGAGGGAAAACTATATTTGCTGGAACGAAAGGCTCCTAAACGAACGTTCACGTTATAATTACGATGAGATTGCAATTAGGAGCGTATATGAGTTGTTCTTCCCATGTTTAAATATAATTTTTTTAAAAATTTAAAATAACTAATTATTAATGCAAAAAATTACATAATTATTTTCGTAAAATAATCATTTTATTCCATTCTATAATTAAATATTTTTATTTAATTAAATAAAAATAAATATTTATTTAATGAATAACTCAAATTTATTTTTTTATTATATCCATTCAATTTAATTTAAATTACACCTTTTGTTGCAATCATATAAAATAATGAATGATGATTTTGATATTTCATTCATCACATCTTCACTTCATTGTAATTTTTCTTCTATATTAATTATTTTTCATACTAAAAGAAATTTCAATATAAAATGCTTGACGATTTTATTTTAAATATTTTTTTGGACCATATTTCATTCTAGCATTTTTTATTTAGAATATAAAATGATAATTATTTCCAAAAATCTACAATTAATAGATATAGCTCAGGCTAAATAAAATGAGCTTTGCCACAGATAAAATCTTTATATGGAAAAAAAAATCCTCTGCCCCCACATTGCATTCTATACAGGAACAACGAACTCGCCCTCTTGTTACGCCACCTGTCCTCTAAAATTCGAACATAAAGTCACCTCCCATTTTCGGATTTTCCTCCCAAATCTCCAACGTCACGACCCTGTTCATCTCTTTCTTATCCTAAACTAGAATTGGTAATTCCTCCAGAAACTCCCCGATGATACCAAACAGCTCACGAAAGCGCCAGCGCGTGCCTCACCACCACAACTCCGCCACGCGCCTTTCCTCCGCCGCAATCATTGAAACCTTCCCCGACAAAACCATCTCCGAATTCTCCCAAAAGTTACGCCGTACCTCTTCCTCCTCCACCATCTCTTCCGCCACGGCCATCACCAGCATTCCCAACACCATTAGCTCCTCGTTCAACGATCCCTCCACCGCTGACGTCATCCTTCGGCTCTTCGTCAACCAGTCTCCTTTTGATTCCGCCACCCCCTTGGATTCGGCCCACCATTCGGACATCCAGGTCTATCTGCACTCCCGCGTCATCGATCGCGCCAAATATTTCGCAGCGCTTTTATCTGATCGTTGGCAACACCAAACGAGCACCGACACAAGCAGCATCAATGACGCTGAAGATTCCAGAAGCAATGACAGTAATAACGTTGTTCATTTAAATCTCGGCGTTCTCGAGGATCCAAACTCCATAGCCGTCCATTTAACCGTCCTTCAACTGCTTTACACGAACGATTTCGCAACTGTCATCGACTCAGCTTCCACCGCGCTCGAAATCCTCCCCGTGGCTCTGGAATTACTCTTCGAAGATTGTGTAAAATCATGCGTGAACTTCTTGGAAGCCGTACCATGGAGCGAGGAAGAGGAGAAGAGAGTTTTAAGCTTGATCCCTTTCTTGCGTGAGGAGGAATCGAAGGAACTTCTCGCCAGAGTTTCACCTGGGAAAGATGATTCTTGTGAAGAAATGTTGCATGGATTGATTTTAGCGGCGATTCATAACCATCCTAATATGGCGTTTGTTAAAGCCTTCGTCGCTAAGCTTCTGAGGGATTTTTCGTCGCGCGAATCAGCAAGGATGGTTTTGGAGAGGGCGTTCGAGACGAGTTTGAAGATTGTGAAGGAGAGTTTGGAGGAGTATTCGAGCCCTGATTTTAGAGGGGATCATAATGAGACGGAAGCGATACAGAGGTTGAATTTGCACACGGCTATGACTAATGGGAGGCATTTGTTGTGGTTGGTCGAGAGGATGATTGAGTTGAGGGTGGCAGATTCGGCTGTGAAGGAATGGAGTGAGCAGGCTGCGTTTACAGCGGATTTGCTGAGAGCATTTAGGGATGATGCTTGGAGGAATATCGTTCCTGGACTTCCTGCTGTCGTGCTCCGGTGTACTTGTAAGCTTGCCAATGCAGTCGCTGCTGGAACAATATTAGCTGCTAGACAGGTATTGGTTTTGTTGGAAGTTATTTGACTACATGAATATGCTGGTGTTTATTGAACCATGTCTAATAAATGGGTAAATGTGAAGTTGTGCTTTGTTGATGGATTCTATGAGCTTGCTGGTACTTCTAATGGAGTGCTGGTGAGGCCTGCTTCTTAGGTTTGTGAATTATTTGTTATGGGAGGAACAAGTTGATTTCAATTAAAAGTTATGATTCATAAATGGGGAAGTTGAAGCTAGCTTATTAGTTGTCTTGTCTGGGTGACCATTGAGTATGGGTTATGGGTTACCTATATGATATGTTGACATGTTGTTAGTCAGATCTTTCTTAAGCTTTGCTGTAAAAGTGATTCTGAAAGATTATAACCCTAAGAAATTTGGCTCTGTTCAATCAGTTGCTGAAAGAAAGTTCATGTCTTCAGTTAATTAACGTTTGAGTCTTGGAAAATTTCATTGCAATGTTAAGTTCTGGTAATTGTTTGGTTCCAGGCCTTGATCATCTTTTTTGGCCTGTTAATACATGTGATTTGCTTTTGTAAATATGGGGACTAGTAAATGTGGTCTGTCATTGGTCCTGTTTAAAAGAGCAAATGTAACCAATGTGGTGTCTTTTGGGTGATCTAACCATTTGATTGAGATGCCTATGCAACGTAGTTCGGTAAATCAGTTGAGAATCACTCATTCTAGTATTTTGTACACAATGCTCATAACAACTGGGACCTTTAAAACTTCATCTGTCAAAAATCATTTAACTTAATGTACTTGAGATCTAACAAGTTTGCTTGAGATATAAGTACTTTTGGTTCTGAGAGTTCAAAAATGATCTTCTAAAGACTAATTAAAATTTATCTCTTTAAAGCAAAAGTATGGTCTGAACATGTGTTGACTATAGATTTGAGTGATAAATTGCAGAGCACTAAAGGGTAGTGTTATTTGCTTTTACAAAATTTGAGGGTAAAGCTATTTTTTTACTGGGAGATGGTAAGCTGTTTCTTGTTTATTCTTAAAAACTTCATTACATATGAAACCTTGGTTATAATGCATGCGTGTTGCTTGAGTTCTAGAGAAGTAGTTATTTTCTTGCCCATCATGTGTGGTGGTTAAAATGACTTTAGTCTCTGTAAAATTTCAGGTAAGAATGAAGCTTGTCAAAGATTGGCTTCCTGTTCTGATTGTGTGCAAAGACAATGTCTCACCTATGCTGCCCAGTCATAAAACATTGTACCTGGAATTGGAGGAGACGTTTCTGAGGATTATCTCCACACTGCCAATGTCAGATGCACAAATGTTGTTGCAACAATGTCTCAGCTTCTCAACCAGAAATGTTGAAGATTGCCCCCACTTGGTCACAGCCTTCAACACTTGGTTTCGCAGGGCAACTCAACTTCCTCAACTGGAAAATCTTGATTAGAAGGAATGGTAACTAAGTGGATAGGTACCCCCTCAGCGCTGCTTTTGTTTTGGAGTTTTAGTTCTCTTGTTGACTCATGTGCATATACTATACTCGTGTGCAGGGACGGAATGTAATTATTACAAGAACATTTTAATTTTATCTTCATTGAAATTTAATTAGTATTACTAAATATAGTTAAACCAAACTTGATTTTTAAAGGCATGTTACCTATTGTAGAGTAATTGGGCTTTTATGACAAATTTTCAGCTCATGGACTTTATTCCTTTTTTATTTTCTTTTTCATTATCAATGTAACTTTAACATGTAAGCAATAAGAAATTGTTATTGAAAATAAGTTCAAATTGACTAAGAAATAAATTTCATACAAGAAAATCACCGGAAAAAAATCATCATCCTAGTGCTGAAACTAATCCGTACAGGCAGCTATCTATTTGTCTGGTTGCATTCGAAAGCCCTTGATTCCTTGAACGTCATAAAACGCTGAAGGGTGATCAAACTATACGATTTTGTTTGATGGTTCAATCCAGCAACACGAACAACATTTAAAATTTTAGCTACCTTCTCCAGGTCATCATGCAAGTCAAAGAACCTGAAAGTGTGCTTAATGTCGAAAATTTTGTAATAAAAGAAATAAACCAATTGTCTCGTAAATGATTGGAGAATATATGGCAGTGGTTGTTGTATCAAAATTTCACTAAAAAACCAAAATCATAAGAGCTGTGATAAGTTATTCAAGTCAATACACTGAAACGATTGAATAACAATTCAAAATTCTAAACCATCATCGCAAAGACCCTAGAATCATTACTCTTTTTCTTATTCTTCACAAAATCAATACTTTATTACTTAAGTAATTGAATTGAGTCATAAGCATGACGATCTTTTTTTATATCGAAGTCTTTAAAAATGAATTCCTATATCTAACAAGAGGGAGTACCAAAATCTGACAAATTATCTTGAGAATCAGAGAAGGTTTATCCAAGTTGGATTATTTTGAGGGCGTTGACATTGGCGTTCATGTACCGATAGTTGATAACAGAATTATCCTGTTGAATGATCCGTTTATTTAACTTGAAAATCGTACCAAAAAAATCGGTGTCCATGAACATAAAAAGATGCTTTACAATTACACTCTGAATTATCACAAACTCACATTCCAAATCTTCTGCAAACACTTGCCTTGCTATCGCCGGTTTCTTGCAAGGCCCCGTCATAATTCCCATTATAATTGGGAAAGAGTAAGTGGACAGACCCACCAAACGTCGCCAGACCAAATCAACCCAGGCCCAATCGATGGATATAATATAATCTTATTCCATTTTCCTCCATTGACCATATAATACGAACTTCTTTAATGGGATTATTTTTCTAAAATTTATCAACAATGATGGTAGAGAATAAGAATGTATTTTTTTTAATAAATATTTTTTCCCTAATCTAACCACATTATGTCCTAATAATTAATTTTTTTTGCGAGAATAGTAATAAAATATTACTGATTTTGGTATATTTAAATCTTTAATCAAATTGATGTCTCTTGCTTTTTAATCTTAAAAAGTAAAAAAAAAAACTTAAAATTTTAAATTTATAATAGCAAAATAAGGATATTAAATTATTAAGTGTCCAAAAAAAAAAAAGATAGTTTTGAGAGATCAAAAAATGGAAAAGACACTAAAACAATGGGCGTGTTAAATTTTAATTGGTTACTTTAAAAAAAAAAAACTATTTTAAACACAATTTATTTTATATTTTTCATAAAAATCAAATTTTTTACTTGGATATATTTGTACATTCAATGTTAACTAATTGAAATTTGATCAAATTGTAGTCCACAAACTTATTATTTTTTATTGAGATGATGTGTAAATGTATCATTATATTTATCCAAGTCGTCCAAATTTATCATTAATTTAGTGTAATTTTATTATTATAATTTTAATTTTGAAAAAATTACCATCATATTTATAATTTTAGAGCAAGTAAAGAATATTTTTACAATTTTTAAAAAAATAATTTTAAAAATGACATGACATGAAAAAAAAGTCATGAAGTTAAAACGATAAATTTATTTATTTTATTTCTTATTTTTTCATTATATTTTTTTACTAAAACAAAATACCATATAATCCTATTTTTTTCTTCTTTCATGGGTTGCAAAAAATGGTGTCGTATCAGATTTAACTAAAACGACACCGTTAAATTAGAATATTCTCTTTGGGCCGTACCATCGTTAAGCCCACATTTAGAAGTCCATATTAGTGCAATGGGCTAACAATTGCACTAGCTAAAACGTCGTTGTCTAGAGCAAGCCGATCGAAGACATCATCAGCAAAAAAAATATCTGAAAAGTGAAAATCCCCAATTAATCAGGAAGGAAGGTATTTCACTTTCTTTGTTTTACAGCTGCGACCGGCGAAGAGCAAATCGTCTTCATCCGTTAGATTTCCCCTACCGACAATCAAAATCAATGGCTGCGATCTTCGCTCGTAACTCTCTCAACGCTTTCCGAGCTCGACACCTCGTAAGAAGAACTCACTTTCCTGTTCTCCACCAATGCTAACGATTTTTTTTTTTTTAATTTCTTTCCGAGTTATGCCCTAGGTTTATACTTTCAAGGAATTGATATTCGTTTTTTCATTATAAATTTTTGATAGACAGTGGGAATTAAAATGTTATTTTCTGGCATGTGATAATGTAATTTAGAAACGAAATTATGGAAAAGGGCAAGGCTCCATACGTAGATTTAGGTTAGAGACTTATTCTATGTCGTTTATAATATTAAACTTCTTTTTTTTTTCTTCCATCAAAATTTCAATAAACCAAGGCATTTGCTGTTTTAGTTGCTATATCTACTGAAAAGCTATTAACTCAATTCTTATCAGAATTTTTATGATTTTTCTAGGATTTGTGTATCATTATTGGCTCGTTAACTTATTTTTTTGGCTATATATTTATAGGCTGTGTCGAGGCAAGCGTTGTTGGGTTCACAACACGATGGGCTGCGACTCAGTGCACACTCCTACAGCACCAAGAAAGGTCTTGCCTTACTGTCTCTATGTTCTTCATTTTTATTATAATATTATTATTTTGAAATGGGAAATTATTAAGAATTCTGTGGAAGATGGATTTTAAATTAAGAATGTGAATCATAGGAATTGTTTTTTATTATTAATGGTGAGATATGTTTTGAGTTTTGAAAGAGCATCCAATGGGGAATAAGTTCCTTTTAGTTTTTATGGCACTGTTCTGCTTGAAAATCATAAGAAAGACCTCTAACAACCTTTTGCATGCATAACCACCAATCCCAGTGTTTGATGGAACTTCATTTTTGTAAGACTGCAATTTTGCTTGATATTAGATGTCTTGGCTTATGTATGTTTTAATGTGTGTAAACCGTAGATGATGAGGAAAGAGAACAGCTTGCTAAGGAGATTTCTAAAGACTGGAGTTCTGGTAATATGGTGCACTGAAATGTTTCTGTTTCCATTACTTTTTAGTAATTCATTTTTATTTTGGTAATGAATGTTTTTTATGTTCTTATCAATGGCAGTTTTTGAGCGAAGCATAAACACATTGTTTCTAACTGAAATGGTTCGAGGTCTCATGCTGACTCTCAAGTACTTCTTTGACAGAAAAGTTACCGTAAGTGTATTCCTGATCATTTTCTTTGGGCTTAGATTGAATCATATGTATGATGAAAACCTGTCTTTCCTTATGCAGATTAACTATCCATTTGAGAAGGGTCCATTGAGCCCACGTTTTCGAGGGGAACATGCTCTCCGCCGATATCCAACTGGAGAGGAACGTTGCATTGCCTGTAAACTTTGCGAAGCTGTAAGTTCAAAATTACCCTGTTATCTAACTTACTTCTTTTATTTGGTGGGAGTGATACCGCATGCAGTGATTCAATGTGAGATGACAATTATCAACCTGGGTAGAAAGTATCCCCTTCCCTCCGGTTTGGACACCTGACTGGAAATGGGAGTGCCTGGGGGCTTTACCTTTAAGTCGGTATGCTGTTGTTTTAGGGTAACATATTGGCACCTAAATGGATATTATGATCACTTGGTAAAGTTCATAAAAAAAAGGTTTACTATATTTGTGGTGTAAATTGTCTCTATTATACCCTCTTTATAGAAAGGAAGACTAGTGTCTGCCTTTGCTTAACTTGGAGAGTCAGCAATCCGTGAAAAATTGGACCCAGTCAAACGGTGCTTGGCTTTGCTGATGAATTTTACTAATCCTATCCGTTATTAAATCCTGATTAAGCTTCTGTCATCTTTATTAAATATATGGATTTACTATTATGATATAGTTCATGAAGTGATGGTGGTTTATCAGATATGCCCAGCACAGGCAATCACAATAGAAGCTGAGGAACGAGAGGATGGAAGTCGTCGGACTACTAGGTTGAATTTCTCTCTCATTTTTATTTTCTACTTCTGTTATTGTTGTCTTCTGTCTTACAGTAGTTCAACTTTACAGGTATGACATTGACATGACTAAGTGTATCTACTGTGGACTCTGCCAAGAGGCATGTCCTGTCGATGCAATTGTTGAAGGACCCAACTTTGAATTTGCCACCGAGACTCATGAGGTTTGTCTTCCGTTCAATTAAATCAATCTTAAATGTCCATTGTCGCTTGTTAGTTGTGAAGTAAATTAGTTATTCTCAATGTTGCAGGAGCTGCTGTATGACAAAGAGAAGCTGCTTGAGAATGGTGACCGATGGGAAACTGAGATTGCGGAGAATCTCAGATCTGAAAGCCTTTATCGCTGATATTTTGCTCCGACAGCAACTGCTGTCCTTTTGCTGAAAAATAAAACGATAGATGCATGGTCTTGCATATACTATGTATTTTGGCCATTGTGACTTTGTGAATGTATCCGGATGAGCTATTTTGTTTTTGCTACATGTGAAGGCAATGGTGGATAAAAATATCCTATATTCAGGAAAACAAATTTCAAGTTGTAAAACCTTAGCCAAATGAGAAGAGGCAAGTTTTATGTGATTTTTGTTTTTCCATTTAAGAGATTGATGTTATGGAATCAGTATATTTGATCTTTGGTTTGGAATTGTCGGTCATCGTATGATTTTCTTGATCAGAATGAACCTCTTCTGAGGCACGTTCTCAAATGGGCATGGGTCTCAGAAATTATTAATCGATCCACGCTGCAAGTAGGATTTCTAAATTCCGGGGGTTATTTTCATGATAGGCTTATCATTGCATTACAGTTGCATTCAGAAGCCCAATCGCAAAGCGACAGACAGAGCCCAAATCTGAGGCCCGCAGCCAGCGGTGTTGGATTAAAGTTGGACTATTGCTATTTTTGACCTAAAATTTTTTCTTGTTGGAGCAACGCAATCCAACTCAGCGTGAGGGTAGGCTTTAGGGTAGAACAGGAAGTCCAAACTCCAAACGCACTGAGGACAGTTAAACACAGCAAGCAGCAATGGCGGAGGACGCAATACTGGGTTACTTGGCCACCCACGAAGAGATCCCAGATTCAGGACAATTCGCATCCCAACATGGTCTCCACCACAACGACGTCGTTAATGTCATCAAGAGCCTCCACGGTTTCCGTTACATCGATGCCCAGGACATTAAAAGGGAGAGTTGGGTGCTCACCGACGAGGGTAAAAAGTACGCTGCCGAAGGATCCCCCGAAGTTCAACTCTTCTTAGCTATCCCTTCAGAAGGCTCCATTGCTAAAGATGAACTACAGGTCAGTCCGCTGCTCTTTTTTTTTTTTTTTTACTTCATTTTCAATTCTGGGTCTTCCTTTACTCTATTGAAATTGCGGTTTCAATTAGTATTATCTTCGTTTAATGCTAAAACTTTATTGGGTTCTGCTTTTAAAAAAGATTTCTTTAAATATATTTCTAAGCAATTTGCTAACATGTAATTTTTGGAACTGTGCATTGGTGCAGAAAAAGCTAGACCCTTCACTTTTCAAAATTGGCTGCTCACAAGCTGGAAAAAACAAATGGGTCGATATGGGAAAGCAAGTTTCCAGAAAAGTAATCATTTTATATGGTTAATGTTTTATGACTGCTCATGTTTTATGTGATTATGTTATTTATCCCTACTGTTTGTGCTTTGGTCTAGGTTCAACATGTGGAAGACAAGGTCAAGGATTTGCTTATAAGAATACAAGATGGACAGGTGTTTCACCAGTTTAATAGCTTCCTCTTTTTTTTCTTAGTTAGCTCTTTCCATCAAAAGTTTTCTTATTGAATTGATGTGATTGGTTTTAGTATTGTTTCTTCCTTTCAATTTACTTATTAAAGTTTGTTTTTTACTACAGACACTTGGCAAGGAAGATATTAACTCACTTAGAGCAAGGAAGCTTATTGTTGCACAGTAATCATCTAGCCCCTTGCCTGATCTTTTATCATTTTTCTTTCAGTGGATGTATATGTTATTCACATTGCTGATACTTTCCCAATTATATGTTGTTTTAGGACATGGAAGGGTTACTCAGTGAGTAAAGGGCCTAACTATGCCCCAAAAAGAAAGAAAGTTGCCACTGATTTGACTAGAGAGAATCTACAGAGGTACAACATAGACGTTATAAATATGCACGAGAAGTTAGAATTTCATTATTGAAGTTGAAACACCTCAATTTTGTCTTATTAGTTAACCATTGTGCTTTGCTCCAGAGGGATTTTTTCTTGGACTGATATTTATATTTGGTTTCTATCTTTTAGGGGTGATTGGAAGGAATTAGAGTTCAAAGAGTATAACTTCAATGCTAAAGGACCACCTGCTGAAGCTGGTCATCTTCACCCATTGCTCAAGGCAAGGATAGGACTATTTATTTGTCAACTTACATTTAACTTTTAGCAAATGCATAACCGATGAAAATACAAATGATACATATCAGCCTTATAAATATAGGTATTAACTTTATGAACAATGCGGTTTTAATATCATTTGCATATAAACCATCGATAAAGGTTGATATTTCATGGCTGCCATAAAAAATGAACTGAAGAAAAGTTGTCATGAGAGTATAATTTTCATGGGGATATTTAAGTTGGGCTTTTCTTTTGGGCTGAAAAAGACCTTTTTATTATTAAATTTGTTGCAATGCCTATATCTAAATCCATGAAAACTATCTATTATATAGAATATGATGCAAATGGTTTTCTTAGGAAGTTGTTTCACCATGGCCCTTTTCATTGATGACACCTTAATTTTTGTTGGCTTAAGCATCCCATTTATATGGTATTAATATTTTTTTAGCCTCATTTTATATTCAGGTGAAACAACAATTGAAGAACATATTTCTTCAGATGGGGTGAGTTTGGAGCTTTGATATAAATCTTATATATATGTCCATTCAGATCTTACATACTAGTTTATAACTGTTTATCTTACATGGTGATGATGATGCTGCGTGAGAATCACATATGGATGTCAACTCATAGTGGATATACAACACTCTTCACCTTGCCTTGACTTTATTATTTTTTATGATGATTGAAAATGTTACTTGGCATTACCATAAATTATGCCATGTTATCATAATGCTGCTTTCTTTAATATTAATGTTCATTTGAACTCTTTTCTCTCTGCTAGTTGAGATGATTGTTTTTGCAGTATTTTTGTTTTCAACTTTGATATTGATATAGATATTTTCATTTTATGCTGACTGCAGTTTTGAGGAGATGCCAACAAACAATTTCGTTGAAAGCAGGTAGTTGACATAGCCATTAGCCAGCTCTTTTTTGCATGCTCATGTTGTTTCTGTGATAGTTGATTGCAAGTGGAGCTTCTTTGAGAAAGCAACATATACCTGTTAAATATAGGAAACCTGAGAAAAGAACGTATACATGCCTCCAGTTTTCTAAGGGTGTCTTTAAGCATTCTGAATAAGATAATGTTTTAACAAAAATATGGTTGGAAGGAACCTGAAATCCTACATTTACGTTGTCATTAATTCTTTCCTTTCATGTCTGACAAGAATAAATTTGTTTCTAAAGTTGTTATCCTATATCTTTTTTCACTTGTAGCTTCTGGAACTTTGATGCATTGTTCCAACCACAGCAACACCCTGCTCGTGATTCACACGATACATTCTTTCTGGAAGGTATGCCTCGATTGACTGATTGACTAACGCGTATGCCTTTTCTACTCTTCTTTGGGTATTTATTTGGAGCATACATCTGCAGCTCCATCCACTACAAGGGAACTGCCTGAAGATTATGTTCAGTTGGTGAAGCGTGTTCATGAATCTGGTGGTTATGGCTCCAGGGGGTAAGATGTTTTTCTCTGGTAGTCTTACTTCCATATGTCGCGAACATGAAATTGATTAACTTATTTGTTTACTTTTCCAAAGATATATGTATGACTGGAAAAGAGAGGAAGCAAACAAAAACCTGCTGCGTACTCATACAACTGCTGTCTCCACTAGAATGCTCTATACTCTAGCAAAGGTTTGATTGTCTCTCGTTAAATGTAACCACTTCCAACTTACTGTTTTTCCTAAATTTAAAAGCCCTTATTTTCTTAAGCTTTTCTCATAAACTAAATTTGGATTTCTAAACTATTATATACTGCTTTAATGCTAATGCATCATACAACCATTGTAATTACCTGCACTGCACAATACTGTTGATTGCAATTTGCAAGTATAATCCATCAATGTCAGGATCTCTGTTATATTGTTAAATTTGACTTTCATATGGGAAAAAAAGAGAGGTGTATTGTATGCTGTCTTAACAGTTGATGTTGGTTGCATCATTATTGATATCTGTGAATGTTAATATTCATTTCCTTTATGATTTTATCTTCAGCAACCTTTTGCCCCCAAAAGATATTTCTCTATAGATCGTGTGTTCAGAAATGAATCTGTGGACCGAACTCATCTTGCAGAGTTCCATCAGATTGAAGGTAATTAATTATAGGCTGCATGTATCTACTGCACTAGTTTTGTCTTTTTACTCAGTCTAAGTTCTGGTTACGTTAACTGGATCCAAGTTGTGGACCAACCTCTATTGCACTGCTTTTGTTATCTCAACTATCTGATTAGTGTTTTTTTTTTTTTTTGGGAATGCATCTAATGATTCACTGACCATTTGAATTTATAGGTTTGGTATGTGACCGGGGGCTTACTCTTGGTGACTTGATTGGTGTTCTGAATGACTTCTTCTCACGACTAGGTAATGATCATCGATGCAAGAATAGAGTACCATAGCAGCATTGTGAAATAAATTGGACTGAGTGTTTAAATTTTTATGGTTTAATTTATTGAAGCCTGTAGTCTTTCTGGATAAAGTTTGTCATGTAACAGTTGGTGTATCTGTCTGCTGATATGCTACTTATCATCCTGAGATGGATTCCACAAGAGCTGCCTCAGTAATTTTTGGTGATGGTAAAAATGAGAGTAATGTAATTGATGGTAACAATTTTGCTATGATCTCTTTCAGGAATGTCCAAGTTGCGTTTCAAGCCTGCTTACAACCCATATACTGAACCCAGCATGGAGATATTCAGGTGATATGTCTCATATTTTTCTTGATGGGTTTATTACCTGGTAGGTAAATATCAATTTGATAGATCATTCTTGTTTTCATCAGTTATCATGAAGGCTTGAAGAAATGGGTGGAAATTGGGAATTCTGGAATGTTCAGACCTGAAATGTTGCTTCCAATGGGATTCCCAGAGGATGTTCGTGTTATTGCTTGGGGCCTTTCCCTTGAAAGGTAAGAACTAAGAAGTTATAACCTGGTATTGTTATATTTTTTCTGAAGAAAGTTATGAATGAAATATTTTAATTCAGTCTTTTGACATCTACTTCAAAAGCTTCTTTTGAGCAAAATTTGAACAATGTCTTGATATTTTGTTTTTATTTGCGTTACTTAGACCAACTATGATACTCTACGGAATCGATAACATTAGGGATCTGTTTGGACACAAGGTACTAATATATATGTGTGTGTGTGTGCATATATATATATGCTGATATACAGTCTTCTCACTGTGTAGTGGTTTTCAGATGGAATTTACTTATGCGTGGTTGTTATTGCAGGTGGATCTTAGTCTCAT